CTGAACCAAAGGTCTCACCTCAGCTGAAAGCCTCACTCCCCATGACCAGACAAGGACTCTCAATGTTTGGATGGTTAGTAAAGGTTTGTAACTGGTGAGGAAACATCATCATCTCTCATGTAATTAGTAGAGAATCTGATCAAGCACTTTTGGGACTAAGTATGAGGAACACTGATGCTGAAGCAAACTTTCTGCTAACACAAAACCATGCGGTGATGCTGAGGTTGGAGGTCAGCGAATTGAGCTGGACCACACATGGAGGTGCCACACACCATCCCACTGCCCCCTGCCGATCACACCAAAGCAACGCACACTGAAAGAGCCACCTGTGTCTTACAGAAATTGTCCCAGTGATCACTGAAATCACCTCCTCTTTAAAGTGTATGTGTGGGAAGAGGTAAGGCAGAGAAATAAAAAGCCTCAAAGACATGATATTAAAGAAATATTTATAGTAAGAGCCCTGTCTCACAGTGATGCACACCTAGACAAGTACAATGAGCAGACATACCTGCTTTATGTACACATCCATTTGTGATAAATACACAGTACAGAGTTTTATCTTTGTCACAAAAATCCTCTAAATTCATATGTATTATATATAACTTTATATATGGCAACAGTAATCATGTTAGTTTTTCCACCCTGTAATTCCATACTAAACACACTGAGCAGTTTGAGTAAAACAGCCTCAAACACTTCCTTAAAATTTTGCAGGAACCCTACAACACACAGGGATAAAAACAGCAGAAGAATTAATCTGAGTTTTTCTCAACTTAAAAAATGTAATTAGTTGACTCTACCAAAACAAATTAAAATCTTATGACGACACAAACATCTGCACCTTTCAAATGCCCAAGTATAGAAGTCTTTCCTATTTGCTATAAATTCTGCTTATGCATACCTGAATTTTCTTAGAGACACATATTTCTTTCCTAGTCAATTATTTTTGACACAAGGTAATGATAACATCTTCAGAGTATCCATACAGTATAATTGTAAAACAGTTGGACATTGTTTGGACACACAACTATACCAGAACAGTGTTACATAAAATTCAGTGCATATTCCTGGAATAACTTCGTTTGGGGGGAGGGAAAAAAAAAGTCAGGTTAAAGAAAAAAAACGAGTATCAAATGAAGAAAGCTAACTTTTAGGCATCATACCGTAACTCTTGAACAGTTCAGCTTGCTTCAAGGGCAGTTCAACTGTTTCTCTAATAGTTTTGAGCTGGCTGCTTAAACCTCCTATCATATCATAGGTGACTCGGGATTCACAATCACCATCTTCTGCTACATTTGTCCTCGTTTCAACAAAATTGATTCTAGTTCTTGAAGAAATGAAATAAAAAGCATCTGTATTGCTTATTGCTCCAGTTTTGCCAGTTAGTGGGAGTCCCTCACTGCCTCCTTTCCCAGCCAACTCCAAATCATCAGTGAGCTCTGCACCATCTTCCTTGCTGTAGGTTTTATCTCCTTGACCAGAGTCTTGACCACTGGCTGCCACAGCAGAACTGGGTGTAACTGGTGAACCTGGATCCATCAGTTTGCTTGGTGTGCTCATAGATGCAACCTCTGGACTACCGTCAATGTCCATCTTGCCGAGCTGCAAGGACAAATCTAATGTACTCGTCTCCAAATCAGATCTTTCAAGGTCTGGCTCATGCATATCACTGGAAACAGCACTGCCCTGGGCAGTCAGCTCTGCACCATCAGTTCCTTTCACTTTCATCACCACGATGTTACAAAGTTTGCCATAGAAAGTGAAAGCCAAAAGGTTTCCTGGTAAAACTATTTTCCCATCTATGAGAAGATTAAAAAAGAAAAAAAAAAAAAGACAAAGAAGAAGAAATTTCAATCTACTTTGGCAGCAATAACATTCAAACATTCTTGTATCAGAATGATTCTTTATCAGGAAGCCTAAGGAGTGCTATAAATTAACATAACAAAAGGTAGTTAGGCAATTTCAAGATAGTTTCAGGTAATTTAAATGATCCTTTTGTACACAAGCAGACCATACTGGATAAACAGTTGTCAGTATCATATGTAATCTCTCATACTAAGCCCATCATTAATTTGAGCTTTTTAAATTTCATACAGCATACAAAGGGAGATTATGGAATCAGTATTGTAAGAAGTAAAAATTTTGTATTTGCTGTGTGCCTTATAGGTTCACAATATTTCATGTTTAGCCCACCTTCTTTGAGAGTCCTAGGCTAAAAAAGGTAAGGTTTTAACCTTTGCGTTGACAGAGAAAGATTAGGAAATGTGATCTGAATGCACCCTACAGGCACAAAAAAAACAAAGGTAAAAATGTAAACAAGATTTATTATTTCCAGCCAAACTCATGAATTTGGAATGCAGTTCATGTTTCCTGCTTCTTAGCATAGCAATACTGTTATTAATTCCTAAACCAGAAGATTCCCTTTGAATAGAGTAGAACAATTTGTAGTGAGTGCTTTGAGTAGCACTACCTTGAATAACTTAGCTTGCTTTTTTGCCTTACTTATACATATCTACCACCCAAGGAATAGCAATTTTGCTTATTTACCACCAACATAAAAAAAAACCCATAGTATGGGCTTTCACGTTAATACAGATCCCTTATCTTATTTTTAATACGTAGTATTGCACTTTTCTTCACAGTGCAAGTAAGTTCTGAAGTGCATCACAGTATCAGCCAGAAGGCCAGCAATGACTGCTAAATAACCATAAATTGAACCAGCAATATGTATAACGGACAGAAGGAATGGAATCAGATTAATGCAAGTTAGATATTTATAGCATGGCAAAATTATTTAGCCCAAAGACGACAGATCCCTAAAAGGAGTGTAAGCAGAATAACGTCCTCTATTTTGCCATAAGCTCTTGATTAAGAACATAAAAGGAAACTGCTTTTCTGTCCAGAAGTTGATGATCTACTACAAAAATTAAACAGTCAAAAGAGAAGCAGCAAAACTTATACCTAGGTTTCTCAGTAGACAGACAGACATTTCCTCGGCATTAATGGTGGCATCTTTGTCCCTGTGATAGCAAGAAAAAGAAGTATTTTTCCAAGCAGTAACTACTTGAAAACCAAAAGTCCACACCACTAAGGCACCAGGATGATGAATACCACCTATTTCAGAGTATATGATTTAACCCCACAAACAGAAAAGATGGATGAGCACTTTACAGTCTTCAGATCATATCATCTTAACTCTGAAGATATTAGATACATAGTAACAAAAGAAGTGTACGTATTTAATTTCGGGTTAGTTTTTCCATACAAAATGCTGTAATAAACAATACCATAAGTTATATTTATCAATTCTTAAGATTACAAATATGGAATGCATGCTTCTCATCTCACCAGGCAGAATGGCCATTGCTGCATTTACTGAATTGCAAAAATTACAGATAAGGTAGGTCTCTTTCAGCCCTGCAAACACACACACACATATCTTATTGATTAAATTAGCACCTTGAGCACTTGCAAAACTGCATGTCTTAAGCACTGCACATCCACTATCAAAACAGTACAAGTTTTTCCCAAGATGCATTTTCTAGTCTTTTATTTAATCAAGTTTAAGTGACTCAACAGATAAGCCTTAAGCCACTTCCCTCACCAGCCCTGGCTAGGCCCACAGCATTTTCTCAAACACCATCTCATCACTGGGATTTAACACACAATTGAACACATGTGCTCTTAACCCAAAGCAAATGAAAGGTAAAGGGTGTCTTATGTGAACATCTTTCTCTGGTGTTCATATTAAAACATTTTACATCCCATTTACAACTCACAGACATCATTAACTCTCCCTGTTCCTCCAATACACTGCAACGTATAAGGCTGAGGTGATTTAATAATTTTTCAGTGACGGTTTATCCATACCATCTTTTTCCTGTTTCATTTGCGGCTTTAGCTTTTATTAAAGCCCATTAAACCACTTTTTTAAATTCCTTAGTATTTACCCCCCCTCAGCCAATCTGTATGAGCCCCACGCATTAGCCCTTCTGTTTTCACAATAAAATAAAGGTTTCACTGCATCCATTTTGCAGGCAAATATCCACAACCTTTGTAAGCACTTACACCTGTACGATGAAAAGCATTACACCAAGAGCTGAACAGCAGCAGCACCAAAGGCATTTAAAGCAGATACAGCTGCTGCAAATAAAAGTATGATCAACGGGGGGAGCTCTAAACCTAGAAATAAAAACCTGTTTCTCAATTCTACTGATCAAGAATTTGAAAGAGCAGTATTATGCTAATTTAGAGGAGAGCTCTCAAAATATCATAGCCGTTCCTGACAAGTAAACACATACTCAATTACATTGTTGGGGTCTGAGGTTGGGGATTGATTTTTTAACAGGAAGAAAAAGCTAAATTATGCATGCAAGCAACTCCCCAGAGGTATTAATTTGCAGAGAATGAACTACACCTGTAAAGCATCTAGAAACCGAGACAGTACTCAAATAATGGGATTTCCATTTAGTCTTTTAATAATTTATATATTCTTACATGATAGGATGGCACTGTGGTTTGTAGTAAATGAGCAGGCTTAAAACAGATGAATTACAGTTTTCATGTTTTCTCTCCTAGAGTAATTCTAGAAAAACACTCACTTATATGACTTTTCATCTGTGGAACATATGTGCAACAGTCCTCGGAGCCTGACTCTTGACTGGCTGAGAGGGAAAACTCTGGCTGTGGAACAGTTTCCAAAAAAATAACAGTAATCATAAATATTTCAGAAGTTTCATTAAATTCCTCTGACTTCATCCTTAGCTTGTACTTCAGTAAAAGTCACAGCTTTAAAGAAAGAATGCATTGCATATTAACATGGGGAAATATAAATGCAGTAGGTTTAATTATTTAATTTAATGTGGGGTTGGTTTTTTAATAAAATGAGTGTTTTCAACCACCTCCATAACCAAACGGTATGTAATAATAATAAAACTTCCTACAGGATTAAATTAGCCATAACAAAAATCCAAAAAGATATCTTTTTTTCATTTTCTGGTGAGAAGAGAGGCATGGAGGGCAAAGCAAGGTGACGCCAGGAAGTCAGCATACAATGCGCAGCCAAGTTAACCAGTAAAACTATAATTAAAGCTAAACTGGTTATATTACTGACAAAAAGCAAGATTGCCTCACCAACATTTCTGAGAGTCAGTATGCTGGAAAACAGCATCTCCCCCTTAAAATGGACAATGACAACGCCATGTTTGAAAACAGGTTTGACAGGAAGTGACGTTCATTTATAGAAATTAAAGCGTTGGAACACTTTCAAAAGTAACTGTGAAATAACTTTATTTCGGAAATAACCATAATCAGATTCTGCATCAACCCAAACGCTGACTCTGTGGAGTGTTATGAGAATGACAAATATAGGAAGTCATTCAGCAGATCAGTAAACTGCTAATTTCTCAAAGCATTCATGATTTCAAGACAACTGCGATTTGCACCTTTTGCTCCCTTTTTTGGGTGAATTTCAATTAAAAACCAAAAATATACCTCAGAGTTTCCAACCCTAAAAAATATTCCAGTAAATAAAAGTGGAGCACAAAACCACGCATATAAAAAGGTGAAGTTTTGAAGGGAAGTGGTTGAAAAAAATCACTTCACTCTCCCCAACCTTTCAGTCATTAGTTCTCTTAACCACAACAGGACTTTTCACCAAGAGCTTCTCAGATAGGAGTTTGCAGTATAATTCCTAATAACAACAGCAGCAACACAGGCTCCTTCTAATCTGACATCAACTCTATGCACAGAGATCATCCTCATCCTTTAAAAGTGACTCACAAATTTAAAGAATCTGCCTTGATCGTGCAGTTATACACCCTTGCCTAATGCAAAGGCAACACAGGCAGCTTGACCTCTGCTTCAGGAGGTGCTGGGCTATCATTACTATTCATTAATTTAATGTAAAATGAAGAATCTCTTAAGACTAATGAGCTTAGTGCCATTATATTCTTCACAACAGCACCACTCCTCAGTTGAGATTTTGTACAACAGCTGAGCCACTCCACTGTCCACAGAGAAAGTAGCAGTTAGCAGCAGTTAGCCACCAGATACTAAACTTTATGTTAATCCTACAAACATCTGCACGTTTGACTTTGTCTGGATACTAATTCCATCAAAGCAAGAGAGAAAAATAGCATCTTCTAAGAGGTAAGAGTCTGCAGTGCGAAGCAGACACCTCATGGTATGTCACTAGGTTAAAACAAGTTGCATACCTCAACTTTACATCGACTTCCTCCGCCTGGATGACTGCACCAGTCACAGGCTGCACAGTGACGGCATCACCTGGATTTACTTTCAGGTTCTTCTGCGTGGTTTCACTCAGCCCAACTTTCCCGCCTGGAAAGCCTGTGATGGGCCAAGCAGTACAGACCTAGGAAGAGTTTCAAAGCAATCAACTGTCAGTTGAGATTTTTTCCCCCCCCATTTCCGGTCCTCCAGTTAAAGTAAACAATCTTTTGTTACAAAAAACATGGGCTGAGGGGGAAGAAGGATTAGGTTAAAACCTGGTGCCACAGGGTAAGATACAAGTAACACCGAGCTCTTAACATATGATCCAAGACACTTTTCAAGAAGGAAGAGGTTATATTTTGCCTACAAAGGAGCTAAAAAAATTTCACCAGGACTCCACACATTCTGCAGATGACAAAAAAGCATACACTGCACTGACTAGGAAATACTACAAATCAATGAAGAAGGGTAAAAAGCTATATTCTTTCTTTGCAAATAAAATACATCAGCGCGCATATATAACATACAATACATATATTCACACACATGACTTATACATTTCTTGAAAAAATCATCAGCATGGATTTTTTCCAGTACTGAGAATAAAGATGTAACTACAGTGTAGAAAACATGGAAAAGCACATTCATTATCTTTCTCAATGCATGCTCCATTGTGGTCCCTATTGAATACAACAGGAACACACTGAAAACACAAGAAAAGCACTTGTAGGAACAAGGAGGAGTCTCACCTCCTGTCGCCCATCAGCAGAGGTAAGCAAGACCGGACGACCTATGCATACGTTTGCAGACTTCATGCTGCTCAGCGACAGCTGGGCGAGGGCTCTTCGCAACATTTTTGGAACTTTGTCATCTCCTAAACATTTTCAGGAGAAAAAATACATCATTTTTTCCTACCTACCAGACGAATTCAGCATTTCTCGCGCTCCCCAATCAGTACAAGTAACAAAACCCCTCCAATCCCCCGAGAGAGGCAGCGCCCGGCCGTGAGGGAAGCGCAGGGACCCTCTTGGCGGGAAACCGCGCTATAACGGGACAGTGTTTCTGACAGGCCTGAAAACACCCACGGTTATACGCTGCTGCTTGCTGGATTTTCCACCCCGTTTTAGCTACCAGCGGGACCCTTCTGCGGCAGTCATTACTCTTCGGCACGGTAATAAAAAGCAAATTTCACGGAGGCTCAGCCGACCTTGCCTGAGAGACACCCCCCAGTCGTGAGGGGACG